CCAGGTGCCGACGCCGAGGGCGGTCGGGCCGACGAACCTCACGGTCCCCGTCGCAGGGGGGCGCAGCGTCGTCACCTTGAAGAGGAGGAGGGAGGAGGAGGAGGAGGAGGAGGAGGAGGAGGAGGAGGAGGAGGAGCTCACGCGGACCGTGCCCCGCATGGATACGCCATGCGGTGCACGCAGCAGTTCAGGGTTGGGGCCCACGCCATGCTATGTTTGTTGAACGTGTGCTACTGGCTGTTTTTTGTTTACTCCCCACGCAAAGAAGCCGCTTGAGGACCCACTACAAACGAACATACTCGTACACTTCTTTAGTGAAGTTATAGATCTGTTGGTCGCTCGCCACAGGAGACCTCTCTAGTAGTCATACCTCCACAAACAAAAACAAAACGTGCACATCATCCACATCAGTAGCGATTGTGCAATCCGCGCACCTGGAAAACTTTCCGAACGGAACTTGTCTTAGAATGTTCCCACATCTCTTACAACCGGTGGGTTCTTCGTGTTGTAAGAACTCGACTTGCGAGAATCATTTTTGTGACCCAGGTGCAACCCTTACAGCCGGGCGCCTCTTCGTGATATCGTGACGACAGAGCTCCACTCCAATGCCTGATTATGCGGCTCTGGAAGCAGCCCTTGCAGCCAATCGCGCTTACTGCTGCTAGAGCTCAACTCCCAGGCCTGATTTCCATCAGCCGGAGCCAACTTTCCACCGTGTCGTGCCCTTCTTGCCACCAGAGCCACACTTCCGGACATGACTCTGCGTGCAGGGAGGTCACCTGTGTAGCTTCTCATGGTCTTCGTGCTGTCAGAGCTCAGCAGCCCCAGCTCAGTTCTAGCTCCAGCCACAGCCCCAGCCCCAGCCCCAGCCCCAGCTCGGCCCACGCTCCAGTTCCAGCCTGGCTCTGCATCGCTAGCATCGCACCAGGAAACCATATCGAATCGGAGTGTGCGTATGATCGCGATGCATCGGAACGGAATCGAAACCGAACCCGACCGGCCGCGCCAGGATCCACAACAACGCTATACGAACATCGGGCCGCATCGGGCCGTCAGCGCATCGCCCCCGTGGAGAAGGACAGCCGCCCTGGCCCACACCGCGAAGCGCGAGTATCTTGGCGCCCAGGCGGGTACCGAAGATTTCGGCATCGGATCGATCGGATCGAGATGGACCCTGGAAGGTACCTCCGCCACAGCCCACTCGTCCTGCTCCCTGTCTTCGTCCTTGTTCCCCTCCTGTTCGTCCTTCTCGTCCTACCCGTCCTCATCCTCCGCCACCTTCTCGGCATTGTCCTCCCCCGCCGTCACTGTTCCCCCGTGCGCGCCTTGACGCGCGAGCCCTTCGGGGGCAGCGGCGGCCGCGGGAAGGGCTCGGCCATCGCCCCACCTTCTCGGGAGGCACGTGGGGGGGACAGAGCAGAGGTGACGATTCCTGGCCCGCCCGTGTCGGGCTCTCGTTTTGAACACGCTGCTGCTACTGCTGGTGCTGCTCCTCCTCCTCCTCCTCCTCCTCCTCCTCCTCCTCCTCCTCCTCCTCCTCCTCCTTCTTTCCTTCCGCTCGCATGAGGCGACCCCCATATCGGGTCGCCCGCCCAGCGGGGCCGCCCAGCGCGGGCACTTCTAGTTTCCTCGGGTGGGTCCTCTAGCGCCCAGCCCGCGGCAGCCCCTCCCCGTGGGCAGGGAGCGTGGTGGGTGGCGTCCGACGCTGTTGCGGGGGGGCCCTGCACACCAGCTCCCTGTGCACCTCCTGCTCCTCCTCCTCCTCCTCCTCCTCCTCCTCCTCCTCCTCCTCCTCCTCCTCTTCTATCTCTTAGTATTAGCAGTATTCTGCTTCGTTTTCTTATTATTCTCATTCGTGATAAAAGTACTAGTCTTATGTTGCTGGGTAGCAATATTCTTATCATTCGTAGTATTATTCGTCTTCATAATATTGCTAATATTCTTGTTCGTAATATTACAGCTGTTAAAATCATTAGCACTATTACAAGTAGTATGAATCGTAGCCTTCTTCCTATTAGTATTGTTAGTAGTCGTGTTCTTATTCTTATTCGAATGGGTATGATTCGCAGTCGAAGTAGTACTATTATAATCGCTGATATGTCTACTGATAGTAGCTTGTTTCAGTGCTAGTAGTCTTATTCCGCTGCTTCCTCCTCCTCCTCCTCCTCCTCCTCCTACTCTTCCTCCTACTCCTCCTGCTCCTCCTCCTCCTCCTCCTCCCTCTCCCTCTCTCTCTCCCTCTCCCTCTTCCTCCTCCTCCTCCTCCTCCTGCTCCTCCTCCTCCTCCTCCCTCTCCCTCTCCCTCTCCCTCTCCCTCTGCCTCCTCCGCTTCCTCCTCCCTCTCCTCCTTCTGCTTTATCTCCTGCTTCTCCTCCTCCTCCTCCTCCTCCTCCTCCTCCTCCTCCTCCTCTTCCTCCTCCTCCTCCTCCTCGTCCTCCTCCTCCTCCTCCTCCCCCCTCCTCCTCCCCCTCCTCCTCCTCCTCCGCCTGCTGCCTGCTCCTGCTTGCCTGCCTGCCTGCCTGCCTGCCTTCCGCCTGCCTGTCTGCCTGCCTGCCTGCCTGCTGCCTGCCTGCCTGCCTGCCTGCCTCCCTCCCTCATTCCCTCCCTCCTCCTCTCCTCCCTCCCCTCCCTCCTTCCTTCCTCCCTCCTCCCTCCTCCCTCCTCCTCTCCTCCCCTCCTCCTCCTCCTCCTCCTCTGCTGTCTCCTCCTCCTCCTCCTCCTCCTCCTCCTCCTCCTCCTTCCTCCTCCTCTCCTCCTCCTCCTTCCTCCTCCTCTCCCTCCCTCCTCCTCCTCCTCCTCCCTCTTCCTCGCTTCCTCCGCTTCTCCTCTCCTCCTTTTCCCTCCCCCTTCTCCATCACTCTATCCCTATCCTATCCCTATCCTATCCCTATCCCTATCCTACTCGTACCTCCCCCCTATCCCTGCTTCCTCCCTCCTCCTCCTCCTCCTCCTCCTCAAACTCACTCACCACCACCACCACCCCCACCACCACCACACCACATCATCATCATCATCATCATCATCATCATCATCATCATCATCATCATCATCATCATCATCATCATCATCATCATCATCATCATCATCATCATCATCATCATCATCATCATCATCATCATCATCACCATCATCATCACCATCATCATCATCATCATCATCATCATCATCATCATCATCATCATCGTCATCATCATCATCATCAGCAGCAGCAGCAGCAGCATCATCATCAGCATCATCATCATCATCATCATCACCATCATCATCATCATCAACATCATCATCATCATCATCATCAGCATCAGCATCAGCATCAGCAGCATCAGCATCAGCATCATCATCCTCATCCTCATCAGTTTCATCATCATCAGCATCAGCAGCAGCATCAGCATCATCATCATCATCATCATCATCATCATCATCATCATCATCATCAGCAACATCATCATCATCATCAGCATCATCATCAGCATCAGCATCAGCCTCAGCCTCAGCCTCAGCATCAGCATCAGCATCAGCATCAGCATCAGCATCATCATCATCATCATCATCATCATCATCATCATCATCATCGTCGTCCTCCCTCCTCCATCCTCCTTCCCCCCTCCTCCCTCGTCCGTAGCCAGTTTGGTTCAAGATGTCCAACTGGGAGGCTGTCACGCCCCAAGGCAAAACGGATACCGCTATTCCGCGGACAGCTCCCAAGTGTGTACCAGTGAGCTCCTGGGGGAGCAGACACCACCGAATCCTCCAGATTCTTGTGATTGTTCTGCTTGTGGGGAAATGGTGCACTCGCCACACATCCGTGGTTCGGGAGCAAGCGGGAAGCCTGCTGCTCGGGACGCCTGGAAGTCCGACTGGTTCTGCTGCAAGGGATGCACGAACTGCAAGGGCGACAAATGGTGGAACCCAGGCAGCGCGGACAGCTGCACCAAGTGCCATACACGCAAAGGGAGTGCCTTCGGGGGGAATCGGCATGTGGGGCCCCCTTCCAAGCGCGTGCCTAGCGTGCAGGACCAGAAGCTGTCTAGCTCGCAGGCAGAGCTGGCCAAGTTCAAGAAGCAGAGCGAGGCAGAGATGGCCAAGCTCAGGAAGCAGAATGAGGCTGAGGTGGCCAAGCTCAAGAAGCAGAACGCGGAGCTGCAAAAGGGCACCTCCCAGGCCAGCGAGGGCGGCATGCACCTCGAGAGCCAGGCGCCGACGGCCGGCAAAGCCAAGGGAGCGGACGAGCTGGCCCAGAAGATCAAGTCGGCCAGCAAGGACCCCGACTGGGCGGTGGCTGTCAACGCCATGCAGACCGAGCTGGACGACCTACGGAAGCAGACCATGGACGCGAAGCCCGTGGAGGCGAAGGTGCGTGCGGCGCGCGGGGAGGTCGAGTGCATCGAGGCGGCCGTCAACAGGCACACCGAGAAGGTCTCCAAGCAGCAGGCCTACATCGCCGCGCAGACGGCCGACCTGGAGTCGATGCGCCAGCTGCACAGCAAGGCCACGGCGGACTTGGCGAGGGCGAGGGCCACGCTGCAGGAGCCGCTGGTCGCAGAGGTGGCCTCTGGGCCTGGCGCTGATGCTCCTCTGGCGAGCGACGAGCCGCCCAGGGTGGAGGTCACCGTGTGCCCCGAGCTCCTCTCGCAGCACCTGGCGCTGCAGGGCGTCCAGCACGTCCAGCAGAACAACGAGCTGGCCAGGGCTCTCTCGACCATCCTGCCCAGCATCGTCACCATCTCAGGGCGCTGGACGGGCAGGGAGCAGGTGGGCCGCTCCCTCCGCCGCCCGCCGCGGGCACACGGGCGGCAGGCTCTGGCCGGGTCGACCTGCTTGCCACCGCCACCGAGGCGGAGCTGCGGGAAGCCCTGGCTCACGTGTACCCCGGTCGAGCTCGGCGTCCAGCTTCCAGCCGACGTCGAGGGCCTGCGGAGGCTGGCACGCCAGGCTGATAGTGCTGTCAAACCTCAGGCACACGGAGTGGGTGCCCCTCCAGCTTGCTGAGATGATGCCTGCCGATCGCCAATCTCACCCTCTGCGGGCCGAGGAGGGCCCCATTCGTGCCAGCGGCGACGGCAGCGGGGCACGCGTGGTCCACCATGGACGGCGAGCTCGACCCGTTCGACATGTGCGACGGCGACGAGCTCCTCGGTGGGACGACGGCGACTTCGGCGTCGGCGTCGACCATTACGAGACCTTCGGCGACGTCAGGTTCGTCGGCGGCGCGAACCGTGGCAGAGACCGAAGGGGGCAAGTACGGGCCGAAGCGAGGAACTGCATACCAGCCGGGCACCACCAATGCGACGAGCTCGGCCCTTGCACCACTCGGCATGCCGTGGGACGAGGCGTGGCTGGGGCCCATCCTCGACCAAGCGGCACGAGATCGATCAGGCGGACCCCCGACGGCAAGCGTCATGGGGCTGCCGCCTGACCCCCTCCCGCTCACCGAACCGGGCGAGGACGCGCGTTACGTCCAGGAGACCCTGGAGGGGTGGTCCGCCCTCTGGATCCAGGACATGCGGGGCGAGCAGTACCTGAGCGAGGAGCAATGGAGGCTGTGGTGCATACCGTTTGTCGAGGCGCTACTTCTCAGGCCGCAGCACGCAGACATCCTGGAGCATTTCCAACGGCACCACCGAGGTCGGACCACCAGGGAGATCGTGAGCGAGATGTGCGATACCGCCTGGAGCCGCACGAGATGGAGGCGCAGGGCGTTCTTCAGGTACCTGAACTCGCTGGGCGACCAGGACAGGCGCAACATGATCGCCGACCACTGGGCCCAGTTACGGGAGCTCAAGGACCACCTCCGAAGTTCCCTGGGGGCCCGAGCCCCGACGTTCGAGGCGGAGTTCCCCAACTACGAGGTGGGGCATGACGACAGCGACGACGTCACGCGGTTCATGCAGCTGGTGGCAGCCGCGACGGCCAGCAGGGATGGCCAGGCCCGCGGCGAGGTCGGCAGGAGCAAGTTCGCCGACGCAAGCTGTGGGAACCTCCGTGCCAACGCAAGCGGTGGGACCCCCCAGACCGACGCGAGCTGTGGGAAGCTCCGCATCGACGCAAGCTGTGGGAACTTCCCTGTCGACGCAAGCTGTGTGAACCTCCGCGTCGGCGCAAGCTGTGGGAACCTCCGCGTCGACGCAAGCCGTGGGAACCTCCTGGTCGACGCAAGCCGTGGGAACCTCGACGCAAGCCCGGGAGGTCCGAGGCCGCGGAGGGCGCCCCAGGCCACCACCACCCTGGCCATCACCGTCAACGGCACGGCGTGGGCAAGCACCACGGACTTCCTCAAGGGCCCTGACACGATGAGGGCCGACGTGGTGATCGGCCAGGAGACCCACCTGCTCGGCGACCTGGCCTGCCGCACGCAGGAATACCGGGACAGGGCGGCCAAGCGGCGGCTCCCGCATGACGCCGCGGTATCCACAGGCCGCGGTGGCTCCAGCGGCGGCCTGTTCGTCGCGACGCAGGCCTGGAAGGGGCTGGCCAAGTACAAACAGAGCCGAGTGCAGATCAGGTTCTGGCAAGGCTGGCTGCCAGGCGGAGTCGTGGTTGGCAACGTCTACCTGCATCACACCGAAGACATGACGAACCGCAACTGGATGCTGCTCAACATCCTCATGCGCGAGGTTCACACAAGTTGCGGAGGCCGTTGCTGATAGAAGGGGACTTCAACATGCACCCGACGGAGCTGGCCAAGTCACGCATAGGCACCTTCCTTGGAGCAGAGGTCGTCTGCCCTGCTGAGGCCAACCAGCACCATTAAGGATCGCAGGCCTGTGGCGCTGAAGCTCAAGACTGGCGCGCCCACCGAGCTGGTCACGGTCCAGATCACGCCGAAGGGCTACCCGCAGGTGAGACCCATCGGGCCATGCAGGGAGGCCGAGGTCGACTGGGAGGCTGCGCACGCTCAGCTGAACGATACGGCGGTGGCACCTGAGTCATTGGCGGAGGGCTTCACCGATTTCATGCGGAATGCCGAAGCTGAGCTGGCGTGCGTGTACCACCTCACCCCTGCAGAAGCGCGACGACACGCTGGGCGAGGCGAGCAGCCGATATTCAAAAAAGGTGCACCCGCACCGCCTGAACGACGCGTCCGTGGCGAAGACCTCACCAGAAGCGCGCCAGGCCAAGTGGTTAGGCGACAGGCTCAACGAGCTGGGCCGTGCGCTCGAGAGAGGCACGCCCGGTCATTGGATCGCAGCGGAGCGGCTGTACAAGATGTTGGCCGAGTGGAAGTGCGCGTTCACCAACGCGGCGGACTGGCAGGACTTCGCGTGGTATTGGCCGTGGATCCGCTGGCTCGATCCCGCGAGCCCCTTCTGCATGGCCGAGAGGGCCAGCAACGTCGCCGCCAGGCTCACGCGCGAGTTCGAGAAGAACCGTGGTCGGTCATTCGACGGCTGGGCCAAGAAGGCGACAGAGGACGGAGCGGGGCCGGCTCACAGGTGGACCAAGGGGCCCATCGGGACCAACGACGGCGTGATCATCGATGGGGTGGTGGCGAACATCCAGGAGATGGCCACCACTTTCTGCGAGGAATGTCGCAACACCATCTGGACGGTCTGGGATCCCGTGGCGCCGAAGTCCTGGGACGACGTCAAGAAGCACGAGCTGCAGGTGCCCTCCACGGCGGCGCTCCGCAAGGCCAGCCGGAGCTTCAAGAAGAGGACGGCTCTGGGCTCGGACTCTTTCCACCCGCGACGGTTCGCCGAGCTGTCGGACGACGCGCTGGACTTCCTGGGCGGGCTCTTCGTCCACATGGAGAGGCCTGGCGAACAGCCGCAGCAGCTGGCGGCCATCATAGTCTCCCTCGCCAAGAAGGAGGGCGGCGTCGTCCGCCCGATCGCCCTGCTCGGGGGCTTCTCGAGAGTGTGGGCGAAGGTGCGCAGTGCCCAGATGCAGAAGCGGGAGGACGAGCACGACTTGCCGTGTTTCCACAGTGCGAGCGGCCGCACGGCCGAGCGGGCCGTCTGGGACCAGGCCTTGCACCAGGAGTGGGGCTCCATGGTGGGGATGGACACCACCTCGGCCCAGCTGGACATGACGAAGGCCTGCGAGGCCGAGGAGTGCGACGCCAACCTCGTGCTGCTGCGCGTCAGCCTCAACATCTACTCTGGCAAACGCAGGTGCAAGCTCGAGGAGGCCCACTCGGAGCAGTTCAGCATCTTGTGCAGCATCCTGGCCGGGTGCGGTTTTGCGACCTCGTGGCTCAAAGTGCTCATGTTCAGGAGCCTCGACCTCTTCACGAAGCGCTACCAGAGCATCATGCTGTTCGCCTTCGTCGACGACATCACCACTGTATGAGTCGGCGCGCAGAGGTCCTCCCCACCAGACCTGAGGGACGTCTGGAGGGGGCAGCCGAGCATCACCCCTGCCCCTGCTGGCCTGGGCGCTGCTTTCCCAACGACTCGCGGGCCTCACGCGCCTTCAGCAGAATCTTGGCCAGCGAGGCGCCCCGTTCGAGCTCCTGCTTGGCGCTCTCCAGCAGCGCGGGTGACACCATCAGCCGCGTCTCCGCACGGGCCGTCGCGCCGAAGGCAGCCTGCTCATCCGCGGTCAACCTCCCGCCTGAGGACGCAGTCGATCTCTCACGCAGCTTGTCGCTGTAGCAGTACTCTATCGTCTGCAAGCGACGAAACATCATATCGACCGACAGGATGTTCGAGGCGTCCACCTGATCGTGGTGCAAAAGAGCCTTGAGATAGCTCACGGCTTTGGCATGCTCCTCCATGCCCCACTGCGAATCCTGTAGGCCGCACAGCTTCTTGAAATGCTCGAAGTGCGCCTCCAAGGAGCGGCCCTCGCCAGCCAGGTGCTCGAGGCACCACAAGGCTGTCCCAGGCGCGATGAAGTCGGGCAAGGACTCCTGGCGGCAACTCTCGACGATGTTCTCCAGCGAGCGGAAAGGGCCCCCCGTACGACAGGCGGCAATCAGGAGCCACAGCCCTGTCCGCGAAGCTCCCCTCCTCCTCAAGCGTGACCCACTCCACGAAGACCGCCGACCCATCAGCCAGGGGAACGACTCCACGAGCAGGAACTCCAAGGCCCGCGAAGCCCGCGGGGGGGATGATCACGTCGCCGTAGTGGTACCCCCTCCACTCTTGCGCAACCCGCCAGTTGCCCTGGGGAGCAGCGGCCGCGCCGCCGGCTCCGCCTTCCAGCGCGAGCGGCCGTGCCGGAACGCCCACCGCCGCAGCCAAAGCGGCCCCCGCAGGTGAGGGCGGCGCTCCCGCCCCCCCTCCTGCTCCCAGGCCGGCACCAGCGGCGGCGGCTCCTCCGCGAGGCATCACACCACCTGGCAGCGGCGCGGGCGCCGGGGCGGCTGGGGGCGGGACGCCCGCGGCCACCGGGGCGCCCACTCCTCCTGGCAGAGCCGCGGCTGGGGCGGCCACGCCCG